TAAAGGTGAGCATCGTGGGGCTCGCCATCTCTCCTGGCTGGGCAAGGGGAGCTGGGCTGGGTGCATGGTGGTGCCCAGTGGGTGACCTGCAAGTGCCACCCATCCCTCTGCCCTGAGCTCATCAGCACAGCACCATGATTTTGTAAATCAGCCCCACCCTGGGCCAACACCAACTCCCTCCTGGGCCCCTTGGGTGCTGCTTCCCCAATACACCCCATCTCTGGATGCTTTTCCCCCCAGGACGTCGTCAAGACGGTGGAGGTGGAGTTGGCCAAGGAGAAACAAGCCCTGTGTGAGAGCCAGTCCCAAAACCAGTACCTGCAGGAGCAGGTGGGGATGCAGAAGCAGGTGCTGAAGGAGATGGAGCAGCAGCTGCAGAACTCCAAATTAACGGAGGCTCATCTCCATGCTCAGGTCTGAGCACAACGAGTGTAAATCAGAAATCACCCCACCTGGCTCCACCGCCATTCCTGCCTGCGTGTGCTCGCCGGGTGTGGCAGCGGGTGGTCACCGGCTCGGTGTTCCCCCCCGACCCCTTGTTCCTCTCCCAGGTCATGATATGCGAGGGTGAGCTGGACCGAACCCGTGAGACGATGCTGAAGGAGATGCAGGAGATGGAGGAGGAGAAGAACCGCGCCATCGCAGAGGCGTTTTTCCATGCCCAAGAAGAGATGAAGGCAGTGCACGAAAACCTGGCAGGTGAGGAGGGCGTCAGGGGGCTCACCTGGCCGATTTTAGGGTGTCATACCACCTGCCCCTCACCTTGCCTTGTGCTTGCAGGCGTCCGGACCAACCTGCTGACGCTGCAGCCGGCGCTGCGCCCCCTCACCCGCGACTACAACAACCTGAAGCGTCAGGTCCATGACTTCCCCCTGCTCCTCCAGGAGGCCGTGCAGAGCATCAAGGCCGAGGTGAGCCCCCCCCAGACCACCACCCCGGCTCCCCCCAATGAGGGGTGGAGATACTTGGGGGGCAGCAGTTGCTTAGCTGCTGGTCCCCATCCCCTCCCAGATCGGCCGGGCCATCAAGGAGGTGCACACCACCAACCAGGAGCTGCTGTGCAAGTACCGGCGGGAGCTGCAGCTCCGCAAGAAGTGTCACAACGAGCTGGTGCGGCTGAAAGGTGCATGGGGGGGTCGGGGCAGGTCCCATGGCGGGAGAGCCTGAGGGGAGGCAGGGCAGCATCACCTGCCCGGTGATGGGATGCTTTGGGTAGCAGCAGGCTGCAGCGTTCAGCCCCCGCAGTGTGTGATGATGACCGGGGGCGGTGGTGGGATGTGCTGGGGCTGACACCATCCCTGCGTTCCCCCCCCCAAGGAAACATCCGTGTTTTCGGGCGAGTCCGCCCCATCACAAAGGAGGACGGCAAGGGCCCAGAGGCAGCCAATGTGGTGACCTTCGATGCCGACAATGACGCCGTCCTGCACCTCCTGCACAAGGGGAAGCAGGTGTCCTTCGAGCTGGATAAGGTTTTTCCCCCACAAGTGTCCCAGGAGGAGGTGGGTGCTGCTGTCCACACCGCTGGCATGAGGAGGGACGCAGCCACCTTCTCCTGACGCTCCCTGGTCCCCCCCAGGTGTTTCAGGAGGTTGTTGAAGCCCTGATCCCCTCCTGCAGCGATGGCTACAACGTCTGCATCTTCGCCTATGGGCAGACAGGGGCAGGAAAAACCTACACGATGGAGGTGAATTTGCCTGGCTTTGCTTCCCTCTTCTTCCTCAGCTTCCCATCCCATGGTGCCCAGTCTCGATACCCTCCCTAAACCAGGCTGGTGGCCAGCTCAGACCCAGGGTGCACCAGTGATGGTCGCTGCTGCTGCCGGGGGGTTTGTGCAGCCCTCCACAACAACCCCTGGGCTTTGCTCCTGCTCAGCAAAAAAAAAAAGCAGAATAAAAGAAAGAAGGTGTTTCCCCCCACCCCCTATTTCTCCCCCCAATCCATCAGGGAACAGCAGCAAACCCAGGGATCAACCAGCGAGCCCTGCAGCTCCTCTTCTCCGAGGTACAGAGCAAAGCGGCCGACTGGGAGTACACCGTCAGCGTCAGCGCCGTTGAGATTTACAACGAGACACTCAGGTATGGGGAGGGGGGGAAAAAGCTTTCTGGTGGGGTGAGCAGAGCTGTTGGGGAGCTGGCATCGCTGGGCACCCCCCCATGCTGCTGTCCTCCCCGTCCCACTAGCCCTGCCCTGGCCACACAGCCTTGGGCACTGGATTTGGCCATGCAAGGATTTATTTTTAATTTTCTTTCAGTGTACACCACCCTTTGAAAGCACTCTCCCTCCAGCTCCGCTACTTATACAGGCTCCCAGCCCTGCCATCACTCCTGCTCCCCTGGCCCTGATGCCGTGGCCAGGGCATTCCTCTCTCCTCCCTGCCCCCGCTGGACGTTATATTTAGAAATTACTAACTGGGAGCATGAGAAATATTTTCCTCCCCTGCCCAGCCGCAAGCAGGAGGGGCTGGGAGGAGGCTGGGAGCGCATCCGTGTGGATAATGGGGACGGGGAATGGCAATAAAGAGCAGGGATGGGAGCGTGGTCCGGGTTGGGTGGGAGCAGGCACATGGGGAGCCGGAGAGCTGAGATCTATAAATGGGATGTGCGGCATCTCCAGGAGGAGACGGCTGCTCTGGCAGCCTTGGCACACAGCCCTGAGCCGCGGCAGGGATGCTGTGCCGGAGGGGGGCTGGTGCCCATCATCTCCTCGGGGCGGGGATGGTTACGGGTACCCCTTTGCCCAGGGACTTGCTGGGGAAGGAGCCCCAGGAGAAGCTGGAGATCAAGCTGTGCCCCGGTGGCAGCGGGCAGCTCTACGTGCCTGGGCTGACCGGGTTCAAGGTGCGGAGCATGGAGGACATCAACAAGGTACAGGGAGATGGGGGGGTGGTGGGAGCAGGAGGGTGGCACCCAGGGGTGCAATGAATTGGGGGAGGGTCTGCGGTGTGAGACCCCCATCCCCAGATTTGGGAGCATTTCTGAAGCCCTGTGAAGTCAGAGAGACCAAAATAGGTCCCCGGGTGCAATGTGACAGTCACTGTCCCATGGGGTGAGCTGCAGGGGG